TATATGTAAAAATATGTATTTTATATATCTTTATATATATAAAAGAAAATAAGATTATGCAATCTTGCTGTGTGTTATCTCTCTGTCTCTCTTTCAGACTCCTAATTAACTTTTGAATATGTTTCAACCATAGCTGTGGGAGTCCAAGAGATAATTAAGTTCTTATAAGTTTTGTGAAAATTGACAATTGGAATAGATGAAAAGGATCCAGATTATAACCCAGTCCCCAGGAAGAATGATAGTAGAATTTTTAACCACAGTCTGTTCTTGCTTTGAGAATTCTTAGATGATTTTTTTTTTTTTAGTTGAACCTAATGCATGATTTGAACTGATGTGCTGCTGTGCTATAATAGAAGAGCCATTAGAGGTTTTTCCAGCTAAGCCTATTTCTTTTGGAGAATGGTATAAGATAAATAAAAGATCCAATTTTGTGCCAGAATAACTGTGTCTAACTGTAAATACTCTCCTGAATAGACAAGTCCTTAATTTATGAATTTGCTGAAGCTGTGGACAGACCTCTTACAGATCTAGCTGGGCAGTTTACCATCTCTGCCTGTTCATTGCTTGCACTTTGCCAGTGTTTATCATACCTTGGGCTCTGAATGCAATAACGTCCAGCAGAAAAATGGTATAAAAAAATCTTGAGGAGGGAGGGAGGCTAGTGGAGAAAAACAATTTAAGCTGGCACAGCTGTTTGGAAAATGAAGTTTTATTTCATGTATAATTTAACTGCATATTCTGATTCTTCAGCTTAACATTAGCATGTGGATGAGGCAAAGCCACGGCTGCGGATACTTAATAAGCACTTTTATCAGATTGTAATTAGATTACAGTTAAAGAATAGATCTTTATTTACAGATTGTTCACTTGGGGTTTGACTTGAACATTTTTTGGCTTTTTTCTTCTTTTTATTTTTTCTATTTTTATTCCCCAGGCTTATTTCAGAAAAGCCACCAGGAAGTTACTGGGTTGAGGTTTCTGTTGTAGAAGTGTATAATAATGAAATTTTTGATCTTCTGGCCAAAGACAGTTGTGGAAAAGTATTTGGCGTCAAACGTGATGTCGTCACAACCAGAGAAGGAAAGAGCGATGTTCCATTGCTTACACACGAGTAAGTACACGATTTGATCCTTATCATCCAACCATGATCTGGTGTCAATGCAATGTATAGCTGTCACAAAATTGCATTATAGGCACCAGTTATCGCTTCTAAACAATGGGTCCTTACCATATGCAAAAGAACAGTTCTCACTGTTTCCATTAGCTCAGCCTATTAGACTGCAGTTGGCTGCAAATGTCAAAATACTTTCAGAAATAACAGTACAATTAGTTTGGGTTATACTCCTGTGTTAAGTGCCTTCCACTCAGAATGCCTGAAGATAGCTGTGTATTTCCTTGTTGCTGGATCTAGAGCATCCTGTGAGCTGTAGAAAAAGAAGGGGTAACCCAGTCACAAAGCACTTTCCCTTCAGCCTTACCAAATTATAAAATTTACAGATCAAAATAAAAATGTATGCACTTCTTGTAGATTTTTAAGCAGCTGTAGAGTGTTAGCTTTCCCTATACACACCGGAGTTAAAAAAAAAGTGCTTTAGAAAGAATAAGATTTTAAGTGATCTTTTAATATAAACACCCATCTTACACTGCTTAGTATTCTGTTTTCATAACTGGAGGCATTAAAGTGGGAATTGATATGCTGGCATTTGAACCTGTAGTTATTGCAAATCCAGGTTCTTCAAACCAAAAGCTAAGAAGTAGCTAAGCTTCTACCCATTCAGTTTGAAGATTTATACCTTCCCAGCATCGGTGTATGGTACGTTTGATTCTTATTTACACATCTTGACAGTGTAGGGAGAGCTAAGGTATTTAAGGCTACAGCTATACTTATTTTAATGATGCCTTATACTTACTAAGTATTACAAAGGCTTGTTCTAGTACACATGGGAATGATTCTTGGTGTTACATATCTGTAGTATACAAAGCAAATGTATAATACTTTCTTGTTATATATAAACCACCTTGGCTAACTAGATGGTAAAAATCACATGTTCATAACAATTCATCCATTAACAAGAGTGAATCTGTTTCAGATGCTTCATTTTAGTAATGGCTGTGTTGTTTATGCTGGTATTAAATCAACATTATCAAAAAAAATTATGACAAGCAGTACTAGTGACACCAGAGAGGTGATGCTACCCAGTGGAATTAAGCTACTGGACATCTCCCTGTGAGCACCCAGCATGTGAACAGAGTCTAGAAGGGAACATTTCTGCTTGTGCACTACAGAGAGGTCTAGAAACTTAGAAAAAAAGTTCTGGTCCTTGGGCAAATAATGTTTGTGAAAAGAAACATCTTGCCCTATTGAAATGTTTAGCACAGTATTGTAGTGTTTTACGTTTCTGGGGGAAACATGATGTTTTTCTTCACTTCTCTATAATAATGCTTGTCATAGTCTAATCTCTACTTTTCCAGGAGGAATTAGAAGTCAGATATGAAAAGCATCCCTCCTTGCCCCCTGCCCCCGGCCAATTAAAATAAAACACACCCTCAGTGGAAATAATTGAAGGCAGTATTTTGTCTTGTGGGACTTTTAGTCACATAAGCAGACTAGTTGTTTGTTTATGTGGGTTTACACTATTGCCAGAAAGCCTTGATAAAAAAACAAGAATGTACTGGAGGGTTGTGCAGACATACTTTTGTCCTACCTAGTTATACGCATTTACTGTCTTCTATTTTCTAGCTATTGAACTGCTCATAGAAAAGTGGGACCCCAGAGAAATTGTAAAGTGGCTTTCTTCACCAGGGGGCTACATAACTCTCCTTTCTTTCTATGAAATAATAATCACTGCAATATTCTAGGAAGGATTAACATTTGTATCTGGGGTATGCCTGCTCTTCAGTCTTGAGGTTAAATATGATTTCCAGAGAAATTCTGCATCTTTGATTGCACTCTGCATGCTCCATAAGAGCATGGAATGAATTAAAAATGACTGGAGCTTGAAGTGATGAATCCTTTTGCCCTCTCTGTCTGCATAGCTGACCAGTGGGTTTTTCTCACTCTCTGCTCTTGGATTTCCCCAACTGTGACTCTAGTCCAAATTTTAGCATCTGGTTAAGGCTCTGCTGTCAAGGGAATGAAAAACTCCTTCAGAACAGGTTGGGAGCAGAGCCTAACCTGTGTGTGCTGAATCTTTCTTGGAGCTAATCTTTTTCCTTTGACTAGAGAAGAAAGGAACTGTGTGACTTTAAAAATGAAGATGGGTGCATATAGTGTGGGTATGATGGGAGTTGAATTTTTTCCTGCTTCATCAGAACCTCCAAGTAATTTTTAATTATGGTATTTCAGTAACCAAGATGCTGGCCTGGTTTCATTCCTGAGAAATGCCTACTCCCCTTCCCAAGGGAGCTTTGCATAGTTAGTGGGTGACCCATCTCTTTTCTTAGGCTTTGGGAAAGGGAGAGGTGAGATGTAGCTGGACTTGTGCCACAGAGACAAGAATGAGAAGCTGCAATAAGGTTTCATTTGTCCTTCTAGTTAATGAAATGGCTGCTCTGTTTATTTCTGTAAATGTTAATTTATGGTAAAGGAACCTGGTGCCTTGAACTAAGCACCTCTTAAAAACCACTTATCTCAATCAATTTATAAATACTCAATTCTAATGCAAATATAAATAAGAATATGGACTTGTATCTCAATTACAATGCAAGCAGTGAAAAAAGTCCAATTCATAAACAGGTTATATTAATAATTATACAGAAAGGTTAATAAGAAAAAGCAAACCCAAACCAAGTAAGGGAACCATTGAATGAGGCCACCCAGCTGCCTGAAATCTAAAGTAAACAGCTGGTGCTTTGAATAAAAACACATCCTCATTTGTGATAATATTTCATCTAGAATACATTGGCCTGCTGGGTCTCATTGGCTTCTCCATATATCCATTAAAGTACAGTAGTCTCTTTCCTGCTAACATGTACATCTTACTGAACCACAAAAACCTCACTCTCTTTCTTCTTTTATGGCTTGGTTGACTTTGGAGAACATTCAGCATCAAATTTTTAACCTAACCACAACAGGGCTTCTCTTTGTAGAATCTGGTCCTGGAACGTGCGGTACATACAGCACGATAAAGTCGTAGAGATTATACTAAAAAATTATTACTGTCAGTCCTGCTGAGAAGCTACTGTGCCAAGCTCGCAGCACTGGGCTGGGGATGCTTTTTACCTCCAAAGTCAACTGCAGTTTCCCAGTAGGTGACCAGCACTGACGGCATACCCTGAGGCCTATATTCTTCTGCAAATGCTAGCTAGAGGACAGCAGCTTGTAGCACTGACCCCTTGCCAGTGCACAGCAGCAGCTTGCAGAAGCCGATTGCCTGTTGCTACGTCCTGGCAAAGGCTGCTTGCCTCTTGGGCCGTCCAGGCCTGGCTGACGAGCTATTGGAAGATGCAGTTCGAAACTCAGGAAGGCAAGACCTGCCTCTTTGGACTTGAGGCAATAGTCGGATCACTCCAGTGTGAGGCTCTGCCTTCTCTGACAGTAGGAACTAGAGCCACTGCTTCCCTGCTGATGCCAGGTCAAACAACAGGGAGACATTAATTACCACTGGATGCACAGAGGCAGAGACCTTACAGGGGAGGCCAGCATGTGCGGCTCAGGATTGAGCGGTGAAGCCTATAGTGATCATTTAGCTCCTGCAGCCCTGGTTACACAGGGAACTGCTTTTAGGCGGCTGCTTCTCTTAAGTGTCTATAAGCATGGCGCGCTAAGTGTTTTTCTGTTCTTCAGATGCCCTTGCTTTATTTTCAGAGGAAATTGTTTTAGCTGGGTATAGCTCTTTTGTCTCTAAACTTTTCAAGTATGGCTCTTAGCATAAAATAAGTTTGTGCCCAGTGTGACTTTCACTGAAATCGGCCAAATCTAAGTAAGGCCTTGCCTTTTATCACACGGTTGCTTTTGCTGACTGCAGTGACGTGGAATTAAGCCTGTAGCCTGTCAGGAGACTCATTAATGGTTCTGGTGTTACAGGGCATTCAGTAACCAGGCTGTGATACGCAGTCATAATAATTTATACCCCCATCTAGAAACTAATGTTTAGGTGATGTAACTTGAGTCATTACTGAAGAAGGCAATGCAGTGAAAGGAAAGGGTAGGCAATCTTACTTCATCTGTTTTAAACGTTGCAAACCTGGGGGAAATCATAGTGGATTTGTTTCTTTACCTAATCAGTTTATTTCACTTTCTGCATTAGGTTTTTGCCCTTCATTTGTCATATTTGCAGTATTTTCTTTAACTGGAAAGGAAAATAGATAGTACAAGATAAAATGATCTATAGAAACTTATGCCTGTCTATTCTGACACTGTGCTGGAGTCTCTGCTCATTCAACAGTGGAACTGAACTTTTTTCCAAGGATTCTGGATTTAATTCCAAATGCAAAACATGATTTCCAAAGGCCCAGAGAAATGTCCTTTTTTTTTTTTTTTCCCCCTAATTCCTTACCTCGCAAAGAACAGGAGCTACCTTAATGTAAACTGGACAACTCCACTTCTGTAAGACCAGAGATTCCAGGAATGTCTAAATCTGTGTCTTTTCTTCCAAAGTGTGGAGGTATAGAAATTTCAGTCACTTCAAGAGCTGAGCTACAGTACCTATAGACCTGCAAGGCTGGCAGGCCACTTCTTCAGCACTTTCAGTACCACACTTTTGTCTTGAATTTTCATCTTGGACTATATCCCACCTGAAAAAGTCTATATACAGTTGTTTGTGCAGCTCAAAACCAAGATTGCTGTAAGAAGTTAGAAGAGCGGGGAAGTGGAAACGCTCAGATTCACATCTAAGTTGTCAGCTTTCTTGTGTGATTTTTACTGTGAGTCAGTTAAATCTTCTGCTTGTCTCTTTACTTCCTAGGACTGTTGAAAATGCATCTGAATTTTTGCATCTAGTCAACAAAGGCCTACAGCTGAGAATCAGGCACCCAACACTGGTGCACGCTCATTCCTCTCGTTCTCATCTGGTAGTTACATTGACCATAACCACAATTGTCTCTGGAGATAACTTTGGTAAGTAGGATGTTACTAAAGTTCATCTATAGTCAGCTGTTTTTTGAAAAACAGTCTGTGGACTGGGAGATTTCCATGTTTTTTTCTCCTTTTTCCAGTGTTTAATACGTGCCCTCAGTTCTTTTCCATTGTTTAACTTCTGTGTACCTTCTTAAACAACAGATTGGCTTGATGTCTGAATGACACTGAAACTTTAACTTTCATAAAAACTTTTCACTTTTCTTTACATGTTTGGACTTACAGCATTCTTGAAGTTTTATAGCATAAACAACTAATGAAATAAATTTTATCAAAAAGTCATAAGGTATAAGATAAGATAGATATCAATAAGATAGATACTCAAATACTGTAGTTAAGTCACTTCAGATGACATCATATAATTATTCATGCTAAGTTTGTGGTAAAGCTAACCATGTGTTTTGGGGATCATCATATGCTTTTGGGTGAGAAAGAATTTTTTTTTTTTTTTTTTTACCTGCTGCCTTGCAAAACATCCATTAAATTCAGAGTCTCTTGAACTGTTAATAATAGGCCACTATAGAAACAGACAACATATTTGTCTTATTTATATGGCAAAACCTATATTTCTATTTTTCATTACCACACCAAGGCTTACCAGTTTATTGCTTTAGGAATAACTTCAGCTTTTGGGGGGTAACTTTGTTTTCTTTTGCTCAAGTTGTAATTAGGCTCTCTGCTTCCAGTGCTGTGGTCCATCTCCTTCATACTCTGCAACAACAATATGGTTTTAGAAAGCGGAAAATATTTAACATTTTTCCTTTAGATTGCTATCAGAAATTAAACCAAAATGTTAGCAAAACAGAAAAAACAGTGCCCTCTCTTACCTGTGGGAGTTGCCAAAAGACACAGTTACTTCACAAGTTGCAGCTCCAGTGTTCCAGATGTTAGCTCTAGCCAGTTCCAGATTCTTGTCAATCAGACAGATGTTACTTTTCAAAACACAGTGTTTGCACCATTAGCACACCAGCCACCTTGTCTAGTCCAGGCTTCCCTTTGTCATTTTGAATTGCAGTCACCCTACTACGCCATGTTGTCTGGCAGCAAAGCTCCGCAGAAATGTCTGATTTATGTTGAATGCAGACTTAGGCTTTCAGCTGATAGCGCATGGATGAAGATGTGCAATACTCGGGGGTAGAACAGGACTGCAAATGGGACCTCACTATAGCAGTGTGACAGCACACTCTGTCTTGTTTAAAAGGAGAAATTCCTGATTTAAAAGCTAGGTGCAATTTTCAAATATCCCAACACTGGAGATCTAAGTCACTAAATAAAAAGTTGTAAAGCCTGTGATGAGTTCTGCACCTAAAACCAGGGTTGACAAACCAGCACTTTTTCAGGTTTGATTAAGGTCTTTTAGCATTTTGTTTCAGTAATATCTGTTGTTTGAGGAGAGCAGTTTCTTAATTTCCTTGTCTCAAACTGAAGAGGAGCAAGAACAAAATGGCCTGAAGCCTTTTATTCTGTGTAAACCAACACAGCAGCTCCACCTACACTGGGAACAGGTAGCTCGGGGTTTAGCAACAGCCTAGCTGGAGAGGTAACAGAGCTCCGCAACCCAATTCAGTCTGTTCCTTGCTCAAGTTTTGCAGCTGGGAACCTTTTACTATTGCAACAATAGTCTTTTAAGTCCCCAAGAGAGTCTGTTGTCTCTATTACCTGTAACAGAGTGTGCGTCTTTTATTCTTCTATGTCTTTCAGAGGGCGGGATAAAAAACAAAACACTGAAGAAAAAAAGCAAAACTGCTTTGGGAAAGCCCTTTTGCATACACTCCTGCTAAGCTAATGTGAAAGCAACTTTCCCAGAGAATCTGTCTTCCTCTTCTTTCCCAGCAGAGAGTGAAAGCCAGACACTGCTGCTGAGGAAGAGGAAGGATATGAAGCAGTCCAGTGCAGCTGCAGAACTAGCAGGAGTAGTAGGTAACCAACCTGAACAAGTGGGAGTAATGCTATTGTGGCTAATAGCTCATCATGTGGAGATGCAGCAGTGGCATATGAGGGCTGAGGGAAGTCTAGAGGGAACAGCAAAAAAGGACAAAATAGAAGAGGCAGGATGAACATTTTTTGCCAGAGAACCAGCAGGTGATATTTCAAATACACAGAAACAGGCTTCAAAGCTTGCTGCTCCCAAACATTCAAAATCTCACTTTGGTTGCAGTCAATCTAAAACATGAAAAAATGCGCTTTAAAGTCCTTACTGGACTCCTGTTTCTTGTTTTCCACACAGAAGTGTGAACAACGGGAATATTAGATACAACAGAACCTACACCCAAGTCTTGTCCCCAACGGGTATGATCAGTTTTATGAACACCACCTTAAAAAAGATAGAAAAAGTCATTCAGCCTGCCCATGCCATTGATTCTGACTTGTATATAGCTTCTGTTAGAATAGCCTAAACAGGCAAATGTTGTACTTCCCCTAAGGAGGCCCTATTTTTCCCCATCTCGATTTCCAGTGTCAGTGAGAAGCTCCTCTTGTTTGTTTTTTCCATTAACCAGGTACTTCATGGGAAGATGAGCAAACCAGTCAGAGACTAAATAAAGAGGTTTCCTGCACCTTTCCACAAAAAATGAGAGACAATAAATCCACCTCTTCCTCCAGAGCCTCTTCACCAGCTCAACTTGAAGTCACTGAGAAACTGAAGCAAGTCAAAACTAGATTGCAGCTGGTGGATCTGGCTGGCAGCGAGTGTGTCGGTAAGCAAACTGTCTGTTTATGGGCATGGATTCTCCAAATCTAGGTTACAATAGTTGCCTTTACCTCTTTATGTAGGGATATATGCTACCCTGCTTTCACACAGGGGGTGGTTTAAACCCACAGATCCTGACGTAAACAAAATCTGTGGGCCCAATTGTTCCAGTTTTACACTGGTACAGTTTAACTGAAAATCTGACTGCATAAGCCTAAAATAAGCCCAGGGCGGTTACTCGTATCATAGGTATATTATTTGTTCAGACTGGTTTTATTAGGCCTGTTTTTCTACTCTGAAAATTAGCATGTCTTTGTACAGAAATGTTTAAAGTCCATAAAGTATTTAAATATGACAAATATCTGTAATAACTGATATCACCATGTGTGGGTTTTTCTCCCTTATTGTGGAAAAGAGTCTTGGAGGAAGTTAGTGTTGAAAAGATAATATTGTTGTCATTGTTTCTTCAAAGCATTTTCCTCCTCCCCCCTCCTCTATGCACACAATAATTTCAAAAACTTGATTATTTCCTAAAGGACAAACTTTCTTACCAAGAAAAGTCATGCAGCCAAATGTACCATTCCAGAAATAATGTTTTGAAAACTGAACCAGTATTATGAAAGAGTCTTTTACTTTACTGCCAAGAATTCTTGCTGTTGCTCACTGTTAAACTTTTGTTCTACAGAGAGAACTAATATAATAACATTATTTTTTTCATTTGCTCTAAGTGCTGGAAACAGTTTGGTAAACATGTAATTAAGCAACAGTGTGTGTGTTTGTTCCCTCAGTTCAACTAGGACAAACATTTACTTGGTTTGGGGCTCGGCAAGCCAGATCCTCCAGTGAAGCCCAGACGAACTGTGCTCACATCAGTGTTAGATGAGGTCCAGCACATACAGCAGACTAACCTCTGCCATCAGCTACGCTGGTGGAGATTTGAAGATGTTGGACCGAACTCTGATAAACGTGCAAGCAGCTGTTAACTTGTAATTGTTTTAAAATGTGGACAAATCTAAGTAAGCAGCAGTAGCAGACATCTCACACACTTTAAATGTACATCAGCACCCTGCCTTGTTAGCTCCACAGCCATCCTGGATCATTTACAGCATTAATGAAGTGGTCCCTTTTTAGCAAACTAGGTTTCAGTTTGAAAACTCAGCTAAATGCTTTGTGGAAGTTCATCTGACCAAATGTAGATAATCAGCAGTTTAAACATGTACCCCTTCACCTATTTGCATATTTCTGCTTTAGGGTGATATCCATTGTCTCATGAGTCCACCTTCACTGACTGTAGAAGCAGCCTGGGGATGGCTGTAGACACAGACCCCAGTAAAGTTAGTCTGAGATAGGATGTAGCTTAGACTATTGACACCCTGTGGCAGGGTCTTCCAAACTATTTTGCTCTGTGTCTCTCTGCAAAGAGACTCTACCATTCCAGCCCCATCTTCTCCCACAGTCACACTTCTCCAGCTCTCACTGTCCAGACGTTTGGGTTTTTTTTCCCTGTTACTGTGCCTTTTCACACTTGTCTTTTGAACACCTCTCTTGTTCTCCCAATTGGAAAAATACTGGCCCAAAGGGAAAACCAGATCCCTAGCCTCTCTCTGTACAGCCTCTTTGTCTCTCTAGAGGTGGGACAGAAGGCAATTGAGGAAACTGTTAGTCCCTTCTGACCATCCCACTACCATTGGCTCTGCCTAGCATGGATTGTGTGCTCTGGGTAATGAGAACTGATTCCAGATGCATCTGTAGCTCATCCACTATCCTGAAGAAAGGCTGAATTTGAAAAATGCCATGCTAAATGGTAATAGCAAGTTTCTCTTCCCCAAATGGCAGAGGTAAGGACGGGAGGAATTAATTGCTCTTAACGGCACACTCGTCCAGACTGATCATAGAGTTGAGCTTGCAGCACCTCTTGAAATTGGTGCAGCTTGATTTGTTGACCAAACCTTTTCAGTCTTGCTCAAGGGCAGAATAGCTCCATACCACCATGCTGGGTGGATGGTAGAAATGCATCGATTTCCTTACATCAAATCATACCACAAAGAACAGCACCTTACAGACTTTGGTGAACGTAAACCCCTCACACTTATGGCTGCTGTTCAGTTTTGTTTCTGCAGCTTATGCCATCAGCGTCACTCCTGTTCTTCCCAAGGGATACAGATGGGGCAGTTAGCTATTATAAAAAACAGTGGAACACAACAGGCTTCTCTCTGGAGACACTATGGACTGATGTTTTCAAAAGCAGCATTGTCTTGTCTGATCTTACGGTGTTCCTGCTTTCTCAGTTCCATAATACATACGGAGCCAAGATTCATTGTACAGCTGAAGAGATCAACTTTAACATGAGCTACCTGAGACCATATGCAGGCACTGAACCTTCTTTAACCTTCCTTCAAAGAGTCAAGTACTGAACAATGTATTGGCAGTCTGGAGTAAATAGTCACTAGATCTTGCTTTTGGCATGGGTGGACTGGAAGTCATGGTTCAGAATTTGTGTTCAAAAATGCTACGTCAAAAGTAGATGATACAGCAACAGAATTTTTCACAATTACAATTGAAGCAGCTTTGCTTAGTCTTGCCATTGCCTTTTTCTACACTGCACTAGGTATGTCTGGAGTGACAGGTGCAGCCCTGAGAGAGACATCATTTATTAACCGCAGCTTGTCTGCCCTAGCAGACGTTCTTGGAGCAATAGCAGAACAGCGATCTCATGTACCATATCGGAACAGCAAACTTACACATCTGCTTCAGGACTCCGTAGGTGAGGGATTATTCTGACTTTTGTTTAACAGTATAGATTTCTTTTCCCAATCTTTCCCTTCCTTTGTTGTGTAAAACTGGAGGATGATCTTGTACTCCTCCCTTGTATGTGGGCCTCTATTCAAAGACTCTGGCTTTGGAGCAGTGTGAGTACACAGTGAGAGTTCTGAACTCCTCCTGAATTTGGCTAAACCTTGCTGTTTCCAAGGTTCAGCGAGGAATATGCTTGGAAAAATCACAACATCTCTAATAGGATCGTGTAAAGGGTGTTTCATGTCAGGTACAGTTTACAAGTTAAGCTTCAATCTTTATTACTACAGGGTGTAGTCACATATTTGCACATTCCTTAACATTGTGGCCTGTAGCAGTAAGACAAAGTGGGGAGACAGAACATACACGTGGTACTGTGCTACAACTCCTTTTTGTGTTTGGGTCACCTTATCTTCTCTAGCTCCTCATCTATGCAGACATAGTTTTAAAGCAAGTGTAATTCCTGCAGTAATGTCAGATTTGTGTCCATCCATATAGTGTATTAGTCCATTTTTCTTCAGCCAGAAAGCATCAGCCTTTTAGTCTCCAGATCAAGGCATTGACAGTTACTGAGGTAACAGTTCTTCAGAGCTTCTGAAATACTATTACTTTTTGCTTGAACTTTGAATTTCACCTGGCACTGGAGTCCCCGCTGTGAAAAGGGAAAGCCAAAGAAAGAAGTGAGTTTGGGAGCTATATTGTATGGGTGCTGATACATTCGTTTTAACCACGCCTGGTGCATGACTGGTGACACTGTTTAAGTGAAGTATTGAAAGTGGCAGTTTCCTTGTTTGTTTAATCATTCTCTGTGAACTTCTAATAAGTCTGCTTTGCTTTATTGTCACACAAATAAGCCATTTTGCCCTCACCCCAAATTTACAAACATTTGACAAAGCTTAATGAAGTGCCCAGACCCATAACATACATGCAGACTAGCTGATGAAGCTATAAGGGGGGGAAAAAAAATCTACATTACAAATTGTGAAACATTTATTCTACTGGGGCAAATATCATATTGTGAGATACAGACGTCCCTTGAAGGAGCTGTCTGTTTTCAACAGCCCTTTTCACATAGAGTCTTCTGCTTCATAAAAGCAATGGTAGCCTATGCTCATTGTTGTGTAGATCGATACGTTACTAGTGTACAACTTACTGAAAATAATGAGGTAAATAAGTATGTATTCTCTTTTGCCTGCTTTTAGGAGGTGATGCTAAACTGTTGGTGATGCTGTGCATCTCTCCTGACCAGAAGTACTTAACAGAATCAATGCAGTCTCTGGGATTTGGAACTCGTGCTCGGCAAGTTCAGAGAGGACAAGTCAAGAAAAAAAATTTCCCAGTGCAGGGTAAAGCAAAATAAAACCTAAGACTCCCATGGATTAAAGTATTATTAATGAGTTCCTCAGACTGAAATGTATATTGTTGTCCTAAAGCCATTCTTTTAGATATCAACTGCCAGATAAAATAAACAGTCCTCAACATGGCATTACTTAAGCCATAAACCTGCTGATAATGTTCTTGCTCCAAAGATAATAGCAAGTATTGACAACAGCTACCAACCATGGTGGAATGGCATAAAAATAAATCAGGCTTTTTTAGGAAAGCTACTTCAAGACATGGTTTTGGTGTTGTGTTTCCTTTGGGCAAGTACAACTAAGTCAATGGAGCCCTGATTTAGGGCGGCTCACTTCTGAAAGGCCAAGGGTGCATTCTGTTTTCTCAGTAGAAGACAGGACTCTTAAGTATCATTCCAGTGCTTCAAAGCAGCAAGTGAAATATTTCCTCTCAGCTTGTATTAAAATGAGACAAGTCCTTGTGCCTTGCTCTTTTGTCTAGCACAGACGGGGTCATGCCTCATGCACTATCAACAGGTAGGAGTGTAAAGGAACCCATCAGCTGTATTGAATGGAGTTCTGGTCTTGCTTTTAGGTAGGAAATAATGGCACTAGCAAGATGGAGAAAAAGAAATAAGGCTATATCTGTTATCTCTCTGGAATGTAGCTTAGGAAACAAATGAAGGATTATACAACTTTTTGAAAACACACTCAGTTTAAATGGTTGGAGCGAATCCCAACTCTGCTGAGTTCACTAAGACCACAGCGCTGCCTGTTTGGTGGGTTTTTTTGCTCCATAAGTGCTGAAAGGCCCTGAACTACAGATCCTAATGGCTAATGGGACCTAACTTGCACAGCTGTTTTAGTAGTAGTGCAGCCTGTTGTTTCACTTGGGTTTCTGAAGCAAGTTAACCACATCACAACCTTGAAGATGCGCCTGCACATTAGAAAAGGATAACTACATGCTTCCCATCAATCACATGAATAAACCACCAAAACCCCAGCTTGCAATATGATGCTTGTCATCTTCAAGAGGCTTTCACCCTCTTACAGCAACGATGAGACAAGATTGTGCAGGGTTTGTGAATGAAGTTCCACTGGGAGAAGTTTCAAGGAATTTTAAGTAATGTTCGAGATGAGAAGTGGTTCCGAGATGGGTAGTCGGGTTTAAATAACATCTGATGTGTTTTATGCGCTGCGTTATTGCTCAGCAGAGGTCTCAGGATCCACTCTGAATTTTTACCTCCAGCAATCACTCTGCCTCTAGACTGGGAGAGAGGTCATTGGCAGGTCACTGCAAGAAGGCTTAAATTGCAGTGGCCTGCCCAAAAGGCTGGAGTTTATAGTACTCCAAGTCACTTAACCTTCACAAGCATAAACATTTATCCAGAGATTATATAGCATACTATTATTGGAATTTCACCCTTGAATATATAACAGCTGCTGTGTTGCATGCAGTGCTCTGGTGCTCAGAACATTAGCATCGCAACTGGAGAGCTGTAATAATACTTGCTTTCTTAAATACTGTCACGAGGGTAAAAAAGCCTTAACTTCACCTGATTGCAGCAGTAACAGATGGGTAGAAAAAGAATCTGGACACAGGACCTTACGAAGCTGAATGGTCACTAAAGCAATCTCAGGTGAGCAAGTGTCAGGGCAAGGAATGTTAGCCAGCTAAATGAAACAGCTAAAGGAGCAGCCAGCTTCAAGCTCGCCTTAGTCTCATGACAGCCAGGCTACTAAAGCAGCCCAGTCAGAGCTCTCAAAGAGGTTAAGTGACAAGGGAGGGCTAGCCGATTCCAGCAGCATCTTTAAGTAAGTTCTTCAAATATTTTTAAGGATTTGGCATTTCCTAAGTGCTACATGGAAATGCAACTAGTCATGAACTGCGCTTTCTTTTCTGGACATGCTCTTCAAAACTTGGCATTTATTTACAATCTGTGTGGTAGGGGAAAACCAGCAACACTTATAGTTAAAGCTGAGAAATAAACCCCTCAAATATCAGCAAATACCAAAAGTTTAAGTTTCAACATTAACATTAACTCTGCCAAATTGTGCATATGCAGCATTCCCTATTCCTGTTTCCTTGTCAGCACAGCGTATCACTTGGGTATCACAATGAAGTGTACGGGATATGCAGGGCAGCAAAGTTAACAGTTTGCTCTAACAACTTTTCAGTTTTGGAATTTCCTGGGTTACAGAGTCGTGATTGCTCAATCCCAGTGTCAGATGTGATGCACTGAAGGAAAGAAGGGTAAAAGTTGTAAGGGTGAAATGGCTTTACTCCAGCATCTAGGCCGAATTGTCTTCTGCCCAAAGATTCACTTGGACCTGCTAAAGGAGAGGCAGGGATCTTCAGACATGTAACTGATGTCCTGAGGAGCAAGGAGAACAGTGTGTGCAAGGCCCTACACTTCTCTGCTGTAATTTTTTTAGTTTTCAGGTCTTTTACGCTTTGAAATAACAGCTATGTTAGAAAAGCAGGTGTGACATATTCATGAAGCTCAATTCAAAGTTCCCTTTGTTGACCAAAACCTCATCATCTGGACACTGTAAAGCTGAACACACATACTGAGGGAAAGAAAGTGGTATTTCAAAGTGTTCTAATAAATGGAGACAGGAGGTCATAAAAGCACCAGGAAAAAAGTGGCTGTTTTTTAAGGGAGCCCATGTAGTCTATTTGCTAATACAGCTTTGCTCTGTGGGAGGGCAGGGGCACAAGCAAATGAGGGTAAAAACTATATAAATTGGGAGCAAATCCTTTCAGTGAAGCCCACGAGTACGTAATCCAGAGCTCAGCTGGTCTCTTGGTGCACCGAAGCAAAGCACTCTCAACCCTGCTCTACCCCTGCCTGCCAAGCCCTGTGACGGGGTCACTGTTTCGGAGGGAGTGCTGCTCAGTACAGGGGGGTCCTCTCTCTCTCCTATCCATGATTAGCGTGCCTTGGTGGCAGTCGGCACGTTAACCTTGCACTGCTGGGCTCTCATTCTCCTCCCCCGGGTCCCCGCTTCATCCTGTGACAGTTCGGCCACTGCTCCGCTGTGTCACGCCTCCCACCGTCCCCTGGCCAGCCGCAGGAGAGAGGCATGCCTCCACACAGCGATGCGAGGCACCACCAACCCCAGCTACCCGGTGGACTGGCCTTCAGATGCCCCCCTCAAATTTATTCTGCCTTCTTCCTTGCCCTGCAGATGAGCTGAGCAAACCATTTTAGCAACAGTAGCAAAGAGCCTCCTCCTCCTCCTCAAAAAGCCTACCCATTATTGAAAACACAGCAAGCACAAGAGAATTTGGTCTTGTGAGTACTTTGGTATTCAGCATCCTGGTTTAGCATCAAGTTGGCCAAGGAGTCAATGGCTTGTAGCCGGACCAGCGCAGCAGCTGCCTGGGAGGCCCAGGGTCTGGTATTCATGCCAATGTACCCCGAGCACCTTACGTAAAAGTGGAAGCTGCTTCCATACTGTGAGCACCCCTCACCCCGGCACCCTACTAGCAAACCCTCTAACCCATGGGCCATGCACCCTCCCAGAAAACAGAAAATTTGGATCCAGTTCAAAGACAAGGGATCTGAGCTGGAGCCTCTCCCCGCACAAGTGAATGCTCTGGCTTGTAGGACATCCAGCAGATCTCGAGACAGGGAAAATGGGACTCTGCCAGACCGATCCCCAAGTCCTAATAGCAGCAAGTGCTTGTCTAGAGTAAAATACACAGATATGCTTACATACAGACCTACACAAAGTTAGCAGGAAAAGTGTAGACATATCTGGAATCAGACAACAGCCTTCAAGGTACAAGTACAAAATTTGGCCCAAAAGTACAGATTGATGCCCACATTTCTCTGTGGATTTATCATTACAGACAGAATTTATCAACTCCGGTTGTTGATTCTGCTTGCAGCCAAGGGAAAGGGATTAATAGTATAGATCCACTTCCAGAAAGTACCTCTGCCTCCCTAGTCTAGTGAGGGAGTGCAGGCAAAGGGTTGAGAGCCTCAATTCTCAGTTTGCCACGGCCAGGGAAACTGATTGCTCAAGGGCCTGATTTTGAAGGACATACAACTGCTGTGGAGGTTTTTCACTTGCTTTTTCAACCTTGATCCCTACCATACCTACCCAGCTCTAACGTTAAGCTCTGCAGCACTGGTCCAACACGCCTTCTTTCAGCCTTTGCAGATCTGTCCCCAGTTCACGTGCAGCACCCAGCTTCCTGTACAGGGGAAGGCAGCCAGCGACGGGGCAGAGCAGAGCGTATGGCACGGGAGATGCTCCCCATCAGTTGCCTGTGAGGATGTTTTTTTCAGCGCCCACAGGGAACACTTTTGTGCAGGGCAGCTTAACCACGCCCCGAGAGCTGCTGCACACTGAGCACGTGGCTGGCACGCTGTAAATTCACACTGCAGTTCATGGCACTCTACACTCTCTGCAGGCAAGCTGTTAATCTTCCTCACCGCCTAGGCGTACTCTTATCAGCAGAGCCCAAGGAAGCGATGTGATCCACAATTGCTTAACAGTGCAGCATCTCATCACAGGGTTAAAAAAAGCAGTAATTAAACCAGCCAGTGCCTTTGGCCCACTCTTAAACAAAACCTTGACCTATGCTGACGTTTCAAAATTATATATTTAATTTCCACATGTGGCTTCATGCCTTGGCAGCAGCCACACCACAAAGAGAAGCTGCTCTTGGTTTTAACCAGGCTACGAAAACCATAATTAGCATTGGAAAGTTCACAAAAATGTTTAATTTGTTATTAAATTGCCAGTTCCATTTTATGAAGCACTTTTCCAAACCTCTGCAGAATGCGAGGCACAGACAGAACGAAGCGGTTATTGGAAAAAGCTTTCGGCTCCTGCTGTGGACAAGCAGTTGCAAGCTGATGGGCTTGCAAGCCCCTTCCAACCAGAGGAAAAGGCAGCGGCGTCTGCTCACAGAGGAGCAGACTGGCCCAGAGTGCAGGAACGCCAAAGGCACCGCCGCCTTTCAGAAAACCAGCCTGGTCTTTGAGCAATGACATTAACCATAGCCCCG